ACGAGTATAATTGCAGTAGATGAAGAGCTTAAAGACGTCAGGTCCTCCAGTCAACTCTCCAAAGACATTAGGTGTTCTGAATGACTTCCTCCTACACTACTCATTTTCATTCCAGTTGAGAAAATACACCTTTCAATACCTCATATAAGCTCTTTTTTTAAAAGAAAAAAACATTATCCCAACACTTCTAAGTCAAAAACATTTACAAAGGCCCTCTAAAATAAAATATTAATTAAATAATTTATAAATGATCAATTATATAAATATAATATATAAGTTGTATACAATCATTTTTTAAACTTCATTATAGACTTTGTTGGGTCCAAATCACTTCAAAATTTTCAATTTCGTCGTTGATTTTGCTTCCATTCAAAGTAACCTTTCACCTTCACTTTCACTTTCACTTTCACTTTCATCCATGACTTTAAGTCCTTGCAGTTCACCTTCAAACTTGGGATTCCTTCCAAGTCACCATCTGGTTTCAAATTATTAAATGGAGAGAACTTTCATACAAACGTATAATTTTAGAAGTAAAAAAAAAGTAAAGCTGAAAATCAGCAATAATAAAGCAAACGCACATAACAGATTTAAATATCTACATCTATAATATCAACTCTGCAAAAAAAAAAGTTCGAATCTCTGAAATCCGAATCCGAAATATATACCGGCATCCCTAGTTTTGCCTGTGGTCTGTTGTATGAACAAAAGTTAAACCATTTAGGCCATGGATATCGTCATCTATAGGCTACTGGCTTTGGGAATGTTCTCTAAGGCACAATTTCAAAACCCGGGATGATCGATCTGCAGCACCCAACACTTACGACCATGAATCTGGGTTTTGCAGAGAGCAGTCGAGAATGGATGTAAACTAATAAGCATTAAGCACAATGGCTTCCGACTTCTAACCTGTCGCATTGAAGTTGCATACAAGACTTATCAGTCTGCAGTTGTTCCTTCAGGTTATAGATCAAAGCGATGTGAACACAAAGCACTAATGGATCTGTTGACAGTCCAGATGGGATGCATATGATAATGCATGCACAACAGCAAACGAAAACCATAGATGAGAAATAAGCTAGTGAAGATGTTCAAAGACTGGTTTCAGACAACCAAAATACAAGGCACTTAATATCAGAACAGGTGAAGGCCGGAAACATGATATGAAATTTAGCTGGTCTCTTCTCATATGCATGTACAATACATATATATGAAAATTATACTATTCGTTCGTAGTAAAAGGAATTGTGACGATGACAGTTCAGGTAGAAAGTCAATTCACATTTTACTTTGAGGAGCGAGGTACTTAGTATGACGCCCCTGTGCGATAATTTTCCCACTCTTTTTCTTCCGAATCTCAACAGTGATGACGGCAACAGTCTTCCCAACACGCAATGCCTTAGCCTCTATCTCAATTTCCTCCTGCATGAGCAACAATATGCACATTAATTGAATGCCTATACGTATCAGTTTTTTCTACAGATGAAAGAAAGCCTTATTTTCCTCAAGAAAGACATTAGAAAAGCCATTACGTAACTTTATACACGTATTCCAAACCAAAAGATTTCTAATTCAAATGCACTTTGAAATGAAGTTAAGACGATGTTTCATTCATGTTAGCCATCAAATATCATCAGAGTAAGGCTATCGTAGTCAGATATTGAAGGTAAGGCTATTGTAGTCAGACAAGAAATAAAGGGAAAAGGTTGAATAAACAGATGGACTTAATTATTTTGTCATAAAATGCAATTAGGGTAAATAAAATAATTTCCCATGTATTGATAACAATTAAAATCGAACAAGATTGTAGCTGGATTTCAATCTGATAGATTTCAGATGCATTTTATCAACAAAAAACGAGAGAGACAGAAGAAAATTGTTTCTATATTCGAACCGGGTCAATAGGCTCCTAGATCTTATTTTCTCTGTTCACGATACTCGAAAGCAATACTTTAGTGAAGGAACACCCAGGGATGGATCGAGGGGAGCTGGCGGGGCGGTCCTCCCAGAAAATTTTAAATTCTTATATAATTTAGATATTTTATATTGATAATATGTTTTATCCCCCTCCAAATTTTATAAATTTGCTTCCTAGCATAAAATCATGCCTCCATCCCTGTGAGCACTTCCTACCACTCGGCTGAATAGGCGTTGGTCTGGGAGAGAAATTGTAGTTAACTAAACATCCCCATGATCTAAAGCAGTTTTCAGGAATTAACAAGCAGTTCTAAGATTCCTATTATCAGAACTCGGAGAGCGATGATGAATCAGTTTCCTATGTTTCCTTCAAGGAAATTCAAAAGATTCAAATTAAAAGATCAAGTCAAGCAATTAGGCAGAATTAGCAAGTCCGGGAAGAAATTGGATACAAAAGATGAAAAGTAGGAGAAAGTCACTAACACCAACAAAAGCAGAATCCAAGTAAGTAATACTGATTTCAACAGAAACTCCACTAGAACTGGCTCCGTAGGTGAAAACAACCGCTGATCCGACCAAATCCACTAGCGATGCAGTGGCTCCGCCGTGCAAGAAATTACCCGCGTTCTTTTTGCACGATTCAAAGCATAAACCAAAAAAAACATCCAGATTAGGAAAAAAAACAGCAATAATCAATTAAAGTACCGAATTAAGAGCAACAAAATCAAATTTGCAACGATGAATTGAAACTGAGAGAACGGAACATACCAGCAATCGAGGAGGGACTTTCATGGAGCAAAGAACTCGACCCTTTTCAATTGGTCAACATGGAGACCTTGCATGATGAAATTTTCGAAGAACCTGGAAGGCATGCCATTGATGGTGGAGGCGTTCTTGTCTTCCCCTTCGCCAACTCCTTTCTCCAAGTATTTCTTCACGGTTTCCAAATCCATTGGAAAATTTGTGCAAAATGTATAAAACAAATTAATCTATTTATTGTAGCTTTTACCCCCCAAACGCAACGTTCTTCTAGACGGTCAAAGTGGGCGGCTGCTAGCCTATCTGTTTACCATTTTTATGCAGTATTTTTAATCACATTTAAAAAATAAATTAAATTTTAAATTAAGATTAAGATTAAAATTTATTTAAATACCAAAATAAAAATCGTGGTATAATTCAGGATTAAATTATGTAAAAAAAATCTTGATGTTGATGAGCATTGGGCAGCCCCCTTCTGACCCTGGTTGTTGCAGCCTAACTGTTGTGTGGATTAATTAAGCAACAAACCCAAATAAGATAAAAGACTGACGTGGATTAATTAAGCAACAAAAGAAATTAAATAACCTATAGCCAAAAGTATGATAAAATTGTGTCAATAATTCAAACGGACTATTTTTTAGTCCGACATATTAACCCAACTTATTAATTTAAAAAATACGATATTTACTATACTATAAAAAAATTCGTTACGTTCACGTGACGAATTTATTCAAATATTATGTTTTAATGGACGTAGGCATGCGAGTCTCGTGAGGTCTAATAAGTGGCGGAAGATAATGAAGATTAGTAGGGCATGACCTCCCAAAATTTGAAAAATTAAAGTTTAAGCCTTCAAATTTTAAAATATTTAATTTGATCCCCATACAATTTTTAAAAATCTATATTGATTTTTATTTATTTTTTGAATATTTTTAGTTAAATATCAACCATAATTTTTAAAAATTCTCATTAAACTTCTCAAAATTTAAAAATTTTAATTATACCCCAATTTAAAAAAAATGTAAACTGATCTCTTCAAAAAATTTAAAAATTTTAGTTTAAACTTCTAGCTTTTTTTAAAATTTTAAGTTGGCTCCTCAAATTATATCACTACGTTCTGCCACTGAGTTTAATTGTTTAATATATATTTTTGAAACTCGTCATGTTCACATAATGAGTTTCATTAAAATATATTGATTTTTTTAATTTAAAATAATATAAAACAATAATATATTTTTAAAAGAAATTATGAAATACGTCATGTGAGTTTGACAAGTTTCGTTTTTATTTAAAAGTTGTAGCCGTTAAATGAATGTTGGGCAACAAATAAATTCCAACAATCATAAACGGCTAATTCACAAAACTCATCATGTGAGCATATTTCACAAGTTAATACTTGAGTTAACCTATTGGACCAAACAATTAATTCGAATTTTACCATAAGTGTACCTAGATAAAAAGATTTTATTAAATTGTTAATGGTACGAAGAATTTATAATTTCATGTATATATGATATTTTTAGAATATTTAAACATAATTGTGTATGTATGTATTATTAGGTGATTAAAAATAGATGTTTATATTTGTGTAATTGCATGTCCTCAACATGTATCATATGCGTTTTTTCTTTATAAATAAAATTTAATACAAATTTTCACTTATTATTTTTATTTCTCTTATTTGATCCTCCGCGACATTAACATTTGAGAAATTATTGAATGGTCTACTATATATATATATATATATAAAAGCGCGTCTTTGAGGACGCGTATTATTTATTTAGGTATGATAATTTAATTTGAATTTTATAGGCTTTGATTTGATTTAATTTGATATGGTCAATTTATTTTTATTTTTATTTTTTGAAAATTAGGTTCAAGTTGGGTTAGGTTATATTTTTGTAAAGGAGTGAGGTCAGATTAAGTCAGGTTCGGGTGAAGCGTAAAAAACTCTGACTCGATCTAGGGATAATAATGTAATTTCTTAAAAATTTTATTCTTTTTAAAGTTAGGTCTTTATTTTATATCCGATCGGGTCGGGTCTGTTCATATTTATACTATAGAAATTTTGGTCAGATCGGAGTAGGATGAATAATATATATATTTTCGGATCAGGTCGGTGAATGATATATAATTTTCGTATGAGGTCGGATTTAAATGAAAAATATATATTTTTTATTCATGTCAGATTGATCAAAAACTCATTTCAACCCAACCCAATGTAACTCTTTGACATTCCTATCTTCATTCTCTATGACCAAAATAAATAAAACATTTTAAGTGCTATTTTAATTAAAAGAAGGATATTATTTAGGCAAAAACGCCTTTATTTAATCCAAAATATATATTTTCATTACACCATATGTAATGATTGCATTGCTTTTAGTTCAACAAAGGATTGAGCACCGATCCAACAAAGAACACAACCCCAGAGATCTCTTCCTTGATCATGAACATGAAAGGATGATCCGCTACAAAGCTTGCAATCGGACAGCTCTGCGACTGCTGTTCGATTATAACAGCAGTACAAGCTGCAGCCTCAGTTCCCTCTTCATTCACTTCAATAAAACACTTGTGGAAAACCTTCTTCACAAATAGAAGTCCATTCGCGTATAGTACCATTTCAGTAAGCTCTGCCTTCATTCTATCGAAAGGTAGGTCTAGTCCCATCTCGATCATCGCCTCCGACGCCTCGAACTCGAACTCGAATCTGAACCTTGGGATCCAGAAATCTGAAACCTTTCCTTCGACGAGATCGAATCGTCCGTCGAAGTATTCGGGGTTGGCCTTGAACATCTCGAGCAAGCTCTTCAAGCCGTCTCTCGCGTCCGGTAGGAAGAAATACATGGCGAATTTTCGAGTGGGACGGGTACTTTTGTAGGGGAGTTTGAGGATTTTGAACCCATCGAATGATCTGTAATGATAACGCTCGAATCCAAGGTTGGTCATGAAAGGAACATGAACTGTATGACCATTGGAAAGGTGAAATGCCCTTGTTTTAGTTCTTGATGAATCAAAGAATCGAGCCCATGTGCCTTTGAAGTAGAGGGCATTTGCTAGAATCAAAGCTGTGCGTTCGTTTAAAGACTTCAAGGCCTCGGTTGTGAGAAGGTTTTTGATGAGCCCTCTTGTTGAGGTCTCAGCCCAGGCATTTACTTCTGCTACTACCTCTTCAGCCTTCGTTGTTTAAGCACGAGTTAAATCCATCAGTAAAAGAAATGAGGCTTAAATAACAATTTATCCTTTAAATTATAGGGTACATTACACGTTTAGTACCTAAACTATCAGTTTTGGTCCGTTTTAGTACCTAAACTTTCATTTTTTTCAAAACCATACATAAAGTTTAGTTTTTGTTTAATTTTAGTACTCATGTTCAAAATTTTGAATTTTTTTTGAAAGTTTAGGAACTAAAACGGACCAAAACCGATAGTTTAGGTATTAAACACGTTAAATTTTTAACAACGGATACTTAAATGAAATAAAAACTAAACATTAGTTATTATTTTAAAAATATTGAAAGTTTAAGTACTAAAATAGATCAAAATTGATAGTTTAGGTATTCAATGCATAGTTGTCCCTAAATTGTATATGTTTCTTTGAGTTGTCCCATACAATTAATTTTTACCCGTTCTGTCTCCTAATGTTTAATTTCGCTACTCAAATCAACTATTTTTTATCATCTTAAAAAATTGGCCAATAAAATCGAGACACGCGGCACTTATGACTATAGAAATGCAGTCAATTTTAGTAAACGGTAAATAACATGTTAAGTTTCTCAAATTTTCTTTTAGTCCAATGTAGCCCCTAAAATTTTTTATTTGATCATAAATTCATCCTTTTTTTTTCTAAATTTATTTTTTATTTAATTTTTAATATAATCAAAGAAACTTAACATGTCATGGACCCTTTTTTTATTATAAAAAGTCGATCGCTTTTTTTGGTTAAAATTGACATGTGGTGCACACAACCCAAATTATTTCAGTGGTTAAAAGAATAATTGTTATTTTTAGATGTTCATGTTCGAGCAACATAAATTATAATATATTTGAAGGTTTGTTGTTAAATGGCGTAGTGCAATTTTATTAGTAAACTTTTAATTGTGTTAAAAAAAAGGTTATTTAAGTAACGAAAGTAAATATTAAAAGATAAAACGGATATAGTTTAGGGGTAGATGTGTCTTAAAGCCTAGAAACAAAGATAATTGATCTGATTTAGGCATAAAATATGAAGTGAAAAAAACAAAAGAAATATAACCTTATTGGCAAAGTCAACTTCTTTGGCGACGGCGTGGTAAAGACCTTCCACGATCTCATGGAAAGAAGGTTTCAGTTTCAGGTTTTCAGCAACCCAAGCTGCATTTACAAACGACAAGTCCGGATCACCAGCGGCGGCGGAAGACCCGTTTTTCTCATCGGTCGGTGATGCAAGATCAATCATTTGTGAAGCTAATGAATTGACCTCCTCGAGGCTTTTCGATCCTAAACACTGAAACAGCTGCTCCAAAGTACGGCCCTTCGATCCGACGGCGATCAAACTCAGTATGAGATGGAATGAAAACGGTGAGACCACCGCGTTTGATCCATTTTCAGCTGCTGTTTTCAGCAAAATGTTGTTAGCCAACTGCGTGCAGAAATGGGTGTTGGAACTACTGGTTCTTGCCTGTCTCGGAAACTCCATTGTGGGATGCACTGTGAGTTGATGAGGTTTGGCCTTGTTTATATAGGGAGAAGTGAAGGGTGGTTGCTCGGTTTCCAAGCAATACTTGGGGCTAGCTGGCTGTTGACTTGTTCTTATGATTATTTTTATATCTGATAAAATACCAATGGTGTTACTCGGACTTTACAAGGAAATTGTTTGTCTGGAGATAGTTGGGTGTGAGTTCAATGAAGGAGCAAATTAATTAAGAATAAATAGAATTACATATAATTTCAGAGTCCATATTTTTTTAGAAACCACAGTTGTATGCCAAAAAGATGCGAAATTACATATAATCATCTCACCCACTGAATTTCGTAGGATCATCTTTGAGTTTACTAACAACAGTGCCGGAGGTAGAGTGGACACGTGTCTACTTTGAAATCCGTATTATTTTATGTTAATTGTTCATCTCACTGAAAGTGTCCACTCTAAATTTTATTCTTACCCATCCTATACAATAATTTTTCACTATTAATACCCATCTTAAAGAATATTTATGAATCCGTTATTGTCTAACAATACTCTCAATCATCGCCATTCGTGTAAATATTAATAGCCACCTCCCAATGGTGGCAACAACTCCATAGTAGGATTTAAATTCTATATCCGAGGTTCTAAATTTGTACTCAAATTATATTTTTATCACTGAATTTTAAAATTTTACGACTTGATTATTAAATTTATGAAATTATTATAATATGGTTATATTTATGGGTAAACTACATAAATAATCTCCAAATTTTGCATTGTGTTCACCCAACTTTCAAAACTTATAATACAATCACCAAACTTTTAGTTCATTTTTATTAAGATCACTGACTTTACCTCCCGTTAGTTTTATTTGATGTGACACATTGCTATTATTTTTCAACTTAATAAAATAATCTTTTTAATCCATTTCAACTTAACAAAAAAATTTCCTAACCAAAAATTGTTTGAAAAACCCTAAAAATAAAATTTCTTTTATCTTATTCTCTTTGTTTGATCAACAATCAAAACTAGCAATGTAGAAACCAATTGCAATACCATCATGTTTTTGTGGAATGTTAGCTACCTTACGCATAACTTTGAATGAATAATAATATTTTTATGGTCGAATAATAAATTGTAATTTTTTATTTGGTATGATCCCCATTGAATCTACGTTCACGTACTATTATCGTTGGTTTGCTAAGAAAGATGAGAGTCGTGGAGAGGGAAAGAAGGTTTGAACGAGTGATTTGGGTGGGTTGTTTGGGGGGTTTTGTTTTACCTGGTTATGTTTGTAACATTCTCAATAACGGGTTAGTGATTAAAGTATAAGATTTTAAAATTTCAATGACCAAATTAGATAAATTGAAAAGTGAAGGAATTAATTGAAATGTATTATGTAGTATGATTTAATAAATGAAGCAGAAGTAAAAGGGCAAAAGGGTCATTGAGCAAATAAAATAATAATTGTGGGTATTATAATACCCATGTGGAATATGCTTTGAAGAGATAAGTTTCCAGACTTATCTTCTTCATCTTCTTCTTCTCCCAAACGTGAAGCCTCAAGCTCAAGGTGAGCTTGATTTCTTTTGGTTAATCCTTCAAATTAAAGCATGAGTTTGATTCATGAAGCGTTAGGAAACATGATGGAGATGAAAAATGTCATAGAAACACAAAGATTTGTAAGTTATGAAGGATTAAAGCTAAGAAGTGGATAAGTGAAATTTTGAATAAGAGGGTTTAAATGAATTTGGAGGTTGAATTTGACTTGTCATCTATGAAAATAAGAATTTGAATGAGATATGGGAGATTCTAAACTATTGGAATGATAAAAGTTAGTTAAAATGGTTGTAGTTGAGTTTAGTGGTATGAAATGAGTTTTGTATGAGGAAATTCAGTGAAGAGTTGATGAATTTTCGGGTGAAAAAACCTGTTTTGAGTAGAGTGTATCGGTACCCTATGTATGTGTATCGATTCCCTCTTGAACAAAAAATTCCAGAACGTAATAAGGGTACCGATACCCTAAGGAGGGTATCGATACCCCCTAAAGGAAAAGTTGAAGTATGGTTCATTAAATTCATTTAAGCTATTAGTATCAATTTATAAGGTTTAGGCTTTTGATAATTGTCTCAAAAATTATGTTTATGTACATATCGAGCCTAAACGAGTTCCGGAACAAGTGACAAGTAAGATCGATCGAGGGAAAGGAAAAAAGATATAGGTGAGTGCATATACATAGCATGAATATAATATTATAATCAGTTCTAGACTTGTGATAAGTCTAGATTCAATATTTTGATACATGATCACTTTCCATATTATGATACATGACATGAATTCATATTATATGCATTATGTGACATGAATATGCATGAAAATTTATATGAGCTATCTGATAAAGGTATGGAAAATGATATGTATGTAATACCCCAACCCGTATCCGACCCGGATACGAATCCAAGGTGTCATATTGACCTTTTAAAACATGTACTTGTATAAAATAGTGAGTAATTTAAAACTTTTATAACATATAAATGACTAATTTACATAAAAGACATTTTCATTATTACAAAACCAATCAGAGCGTGTATATTTCACTTATTTATTTACATATAACTATTCAAAACATTTATAAAACTGTTCATAGATTAAACAATATATTCTTTTGAAAACATGCCAACTAGAACTTTATATACTAAAATACATATTATTCACCTCTTTTCTGATCTGACCTTTAGTAAGGAGAACTGACATGTCTTGCTCCACATTGTTCTTTACTCTTCTCGAAACCTACGTGTAAATCACTTACACGCTAAGTCAAAGACTTAGTGAGGCATATAAATATATAAGGTAAACGGTAACTAATAATCATACCTAAACAATTACTACTATCATTTCATACCACTCATACTTTTACATGTAACGAATATATGCATACATATATGTCATTATCATTCATATCTCTTATCTCATATTCCTATGATCTCTTATGTCCATATCATATAACATATACCATAACCAATTGCACATATACATATCATGCCATGTAAACCATATATATATATATACTATCATAAAACACGTACACCCAAACAACTATATTATCATCTTCATTTCTTTCTTATTTTATCACTATCATTGATTCCTTTCATCATATGGTCTTATAAGTTACCATTTGTACAATCAATATCACACATGAAATTCCACAAGGAAACAAACATATTATCATATCACTTTATTAATATTATCTATTTAATAGCCCATGATACACATGTGAGAACTAAAGATATGCGAGTACATAGAGGTTGTGCACTAATGCTGTCACCACAGCTCATATAATTGCACCGAAGTGCCACGTATAATTGCACCGGAGTGACGCGTAGAATTGCACTGTAGTGCCATATAATAATGTCCATAAGGACCACATATCATTCCTTAAGAATCATATACATATACTAAGGATCAAGTATGTGTTTCACCAGACTTCACACATGTTCCAAAGAATACATATATGTCCCGAAGGACCACATATCATTCCTTAAGAATCATATACATATGCCAAGGATCAAGTATGTGTCTTACCAGACTTCACACATGTTCCAAAGAATACATATATGTCCCGAAGGACCACATAGACCCTCGAATCTTGGCATGCCAACTATACCCCTAGCTCTCATGATATATATATACTATCATAAAACACGTACACCCAAACAACTATATTATCATCTTCATTTCTTTCTTATTTTATCACTATCATTGATTCCTTTCATCATATGGTCTTATAAGTTACCATTTGTACAATCAATATCACACATGAAATTCCACAAGGAAACAAACATATTATCATATCACTTTATTAATATTATCTATTTAATAGCCCATGATACACATGTGAGAACTAAAGATAAGCGAGTACATAGAGGTTGTGCACTAATGCTGTCACCACAGCTCATATAATTGCACCGAAGTGCCACGTATAATTGCACCGGAGTGACGCGTAGAATTGCACCGTAGTGCCATATAATAATGTCCATAAGGACCATATATCATTCCTTAAGAATCATATACATATACTAAGGATCAAGTATGTGTTTCACCAGACTTCACACATGTTCCAAAGAATACATATATGTCCCGAAGGACCACATATCATTCCTTAAGAATCATATACATATGCCAAGGATCAAGTATGTGTCTTACCAGACTTCACACATGTTCCAAAGAATACATATATGTCCCGAAGGACCACATAGACCCTCGACTCTTGGCATGCCAACTATACCCCTAGCTCTCATGACACATATATGGGCATTATCTTTTATATCGTTTTACATATTCATGAAATCATATCATATATTCATATAAGCTCATGGTTTCATTCACATATACATGTAATCACGTAGTTCATGTCAATTCTCATATGAGTTCATATTCATATAAATATAGGATTCACCCTCATATATCACATATACTCATGTACACATATAAATCATAACCAATACATACTTCTATGAATTCATGTTTTTCACTATTGGAAATAGACTTATCGCAAGTCTTATTTTCCATTGAACCTCATATACTAAATAATGTGCACTCACCTGAGCCTTGTTTGCTTTGAATCAATCTTAATCCTTAGATTGTTCCGGAACAAGCTTTATTTTATATCTACATCATAATAATACATTGATACATATTAGTATACTAATTGATATCTTCTAAATTGTCACTTCTTAGGCTAAAAGAAAAGCCCATTTCATCTTTTAATGAAGGTATGCATCGATGCACTGCACAATGTATCGATGCATCGATGCACTACCTGTGCATCGGTGCATAAAATACATCCGATATTTGTTTATTACTGGGATGCATCGATGCATGCCTTATGCATCGATGCACCAATTGCATTCGATGTTTTTAGATTAAAAGAGTGCATCGATGCACTACTTGTGCATCGATACACCTTCAAATAATTTCTGGGTTTTAACCTTGATGCATCGGTGCACTATGAAT